TCTGTTACAACATTGGGAAATATAGGCCAAGATAAATTATCTTTAATAACAAAACTCTTAAAAGCAATTAGCCATGTTGATATTGCAGTTATATCATGTGCTGAGCTGAGCATTTCCAATACAGGACAAGTTACACTTGTGTTTAAAGACAATGGCACTCGGATTACTACAGCATAATACAAAGGTTTTTTGCTAGCTTTATCTATTTTTCTAATGACTGAACCAGTAGCATCCATGTATGCGGTAAGTAAATATGTGGGGCTCGTTTTTTTAATTTTCTTTATTATTTGTAATTGCTCATTGCTATAACAGTGTGCATACACTGGTAAGCTTACGAGTTTTAGATAACATTTATTTTTAGGATCGTTGTACCTAAATATCAAATCATCTAAGTCATTTTTCGCATAGTCGTTGGCATACAATGCTTCTGACCTTATTTTACGTATAACGTCATTAGATTTTATTTTTTGTAAGTTACCGCGATCTAACTTGGTAGGTGACGCTTCTTCGATCGCTTTAGCGTTATATTTATAACTACTAATTGATTTCATTTCAAGTCTAACCAAATTACGTTCATCTCCCATTAAATGATTAGTTAAGCCATCATTTTCAGGATTATGGAAATAATTTAAACTAGAGCTGAATAATGTGGCTTCTGCACCATCACAATGTTTTGGTTCAACTACCACTACAAAACTTTTACAGCCTTCATGACTGCAGTACATATATACTCTAATGCTACCCGTGTCCGGATAGTTAACACTTTTAATGTTAATAACGCAAGTATTGTTGACAGTTTTTACACGCTTTCGGAACATTAAAGTATAAGTCTCTTTAATCAAATGAAATTTCCCTGAAATGTTTTTAAATGTCATATGTGACCATTCCTCATCATTAAATTTGAATGATCCCTCTTTAACATTACAATCTTTAAAACGTTTGTTATTGTTACTTCTAATTTTATTAGGGTAATTATTTACACTATCATTTGGTAAAACTACTCCAGACTTGATGGGTGTTTTTTTATAATAGGCGTTCTTAATAGGAGTCGCTACACGCTTGTATGTTTTAATGGGTCCATGTTTCAAAAGAGTTATATTACTACTATCATCCAAATATTCTTTTATTAGAGTACTATGACAGTTAGATTCTTTACTTTTTAATATAAAATCACCCATAAATGGACTTTTAACAGTAAGGCTATTCTTAATGGGAGAAGTCACTAAACTAACCAAATCAGTAACAGTTAATAAATCTATTTCTTTGTCATAAAAATTACTGGTATTATCTTTTTTTAATGAATTTTCATTTTCTATTTTTAATCTATTACTTTCCCAAAAGTATGCATTTTTTTGGTTCAATAAAGAAGTAGATTTATCAACATTAGCTATATCTGTAGTTACAGTATCAATTTGTAAGAAGTTATTTCGTTTTGTTNGAATCAATTTGTAAGAAGTTATTTCGTTTTGTTACAGTTTCAGAAAAAGAATTTTCTGTACTTAATAATAGTCGAAGAGGGTTGTCCATTTTCAACCTTTTAAAATTGTTAGCCGTTGATTCAAATATGCTATTATTTTTTATAAAATCATTAGAATCAAGTAAATTATCAACATAATTTTCCAGACAATTAATTCTTAATATATTTCTACATTTTTCTAAAACTTTACGATGATTTTTACGTTTAGCAGCAATTTTTAACTTTTTACACATATTATTAAGAATTGTTCTAGTAGGATATTCAAAATCTTTAACTGTTAAATTCAATGAGTTTATGCATTCCAATACATTTGTGCTATCCATCATCATATCATTAGAATCACTACAAATGGATGAAACTTTTTTTTCTTTACTACGTTTCACTAATTCGATTAGTTTACGCAGGGAAGAAGTTTTATTTGTAAGAGCATTAACCACAATTTTATTGATATCTATTTTCTTTTTTTTTTTTTAAATGACATTGCAAATGTATAGAACACAATTATGAGATCTTGATATGTTATTAAATTCAAGATCTGGATAATCAGTACAAATATACTCAGCTATTTCATTTAAATAGTTTTTCAGTGCCATTTTAAAATTATTTTTAAGAAATAAAAGTATTTAAAATGGTCGTCGTTAATTTACCATACAAGTAATAAGATAAAATAACTGGTATTTTCCTAAGCAATATATAAGCAAAGACCAAATAAAATTGTCCAAGCAACGTAAAGGCTAGAAGACTAGAATTAGTCAATGCAACATTTAGGCAAAGACCAAATAAAATTGTCCAAGCAACGTAAAGGCTAGAAGACTAGAATTAGTCAATGCAACATTAAGGCAAAGACCAAATAAAATTGTCCAAGCAACGTAAAGGCTAGAAGACTAGAATTAGTCAATGCAACATTAAGGCAAAGACCAAATAAAATTGTCCAAGCAACGTAAAGGCTAGAAGACTAGAATTAGTCAATGCAACATTAAGGCAAAGACCAAATAAAATTGTCCAAGCAACGTAAAGGCTAGAAGACTAGAATTAGTCAATGCAACATTAAGGCAAAGACCAAATAAAATTGTCCAAGCAACGTAAAGGCTAGAAGACTAGAATTAGTCAATGCAACATTAAGGCAAAGACCAAATAAAATTGTCCAAGCAACGTAAAGGCTAGAAGACTAGAATTAGTCAATGCAACATTAAGGCAAAGACCAAATAAAATTGTCCAAGCAACGTAAAGGCTAGAAGACTAGAATTAGTCAATGCAACATTAAGGCAAAGACCAAATAAAATTGTCCAAGCAACGTAAAGGCTAGAAGACTAGAATTAGTCAATGCAACATTAAGGCAAAGACCAAATAAAATTGTCCAAGCAACGTAAAGGCTAGAAGACTAGAATTAGTCAATGCAACATTAAGGCAAAGACCAAATAAAATTGTCCAAGCAACGTAAAGGCTAGAAGACTAGAATTAGTCAATGCAACATTAAGGCAAAGACCAAATAAAATTGTCCAAGCAACGTAAAGGCTAGAAGACTAGAATTAGTCAATGCAACATTAAGGCAAAGACCAAATAAAATTGTCCAAGCAACGTAAAGGCTAGAAGACTAGAATTAGTCAATGCAACATTAAGGCAAAGACCAAATAAAATTGTCCAAGCAACGTAAAGGCTAGAAGACTAGAATTAGTCAATGCAACATTAAGGCAAAGACCAAATAAAATTGTCCAAGCAACGTAAAGGCTAGAAGACTAGAATTAGTCAATGCAACATTAAGGCAAAGACCAAATAAAATTGTCCAAGCAACGTAAAGGCTAGAAGACTAGAATTAGTCAATGCAACATTAAGGCAAAGACCAAATAAAATTGTCCAAGCAACGTAAAGGCTAGAAGACTAGAATTAATCAATGCAACGTTAAGGCAAAGACCAAATTTATCTAAAACAGAAAAAAGGTTATAAAAAAAAAATAAAGTTATATTTTTTATAAGTTAAATTAGTAAAAGCTATAATTATTTCAATAAAATAAATAACTACTTAAGTTAATTTAAAATAATTAAAAAAAAAAAATGTATTTTAAAGAAAAAAATGTAATTTAATTAAAAATTAACACAACATAAAATATAATGGTGTAAATAATACAAAAGTTTGGAAGTCTGTTCCACACTACTACAATCAATATCTGAAACAAAAATAAAATACACAATTATTATCAGAAAAATTTTAGAGTTACAGTCTTATCTGTTGAGTATAGTGACATTATGTCTTAAATTAATAAAACAATACAAGTATTGAAAACATTTTTTTTTCTTCAAAAATTACAATCATCAAATAAAATTATAATTATTCATTATTATAGTTTTTTCCTTGATTATTTTTTAGACTTTTAGCATATTAAAAAAAAAGAAACTATAATTTGTCAATAATATACAAATTGTTGAACATAATTTATATTGTTTTGTTTTTATAAAAAATAAAAAATTTGTAATAATAAAAATTTGTTTCAAACAAAAAGTTTTCAATCACTAAAAAAACCCTTAATAAATAATAATACCTTAGTACAAAAGCCAAAATATCAAAATACTAAGATTAAATTTTAAGACACATAAAAAATCTGATAGGTTGAGAACATCTGCAAAAAGGAAGTTAAATTTAAAAAAAATCTAACTTAGATTAGTAGATTGTAGAATTAGTAAATTGTTTGAAAGGGAAGATGAGTTACATAAAAATTCACACTAAATGACATAATTAGGTCATTTAGTGTGAATTTTCAAAAAATGTATCGGATAATTATGCCATTCCAAATTTAATATTGTACTTTATAATTTAATATTATAATCACAGATAAAATAAAATTTTATCTTACCTGTGCTATAATTATCTTAGAATTTTGCTACATTAATCAAAATATGCAATAATAAGCTTACTAATTACCTTTATTTTAAATAAAAAGATGTTACAATTTAACTAAAGTCCCTATATTTTGTAACAAATCTGTTGTAAACAAAACTTAAAAAATATGACATTTGTACAATTTATTACTTCAATTTGTAAGATTCAAATACAAATCTTTGTTAAAAAAATTTAAAAGATAGAAATAAAATTGTTATAATGTAATTGTATTAAATAAAATATGTATAAATACCTTACTAAATAGTAGTAGCACATCCAATTTGAAAGTTAAAAAGAAAAGTTGATACGAAAAACAGAATAAAAAAAAAATTTTATCATAAAAAAGTCTTAAAAAAGACTATTTTTAAGTCTTGAAAAAGACTGTTGTTTAGAAGTCTTAAAAAAGACTGATTCTTAAAAGACTTAAAAAAAAGACTTTTAAATAAAATATAAACGCTTGAAATTTTATAAATTAAATTTAATAAACTTCAAAGCGCTGATTATGAGATCTAGAGTCGTATATAGCATAAACAAAGGCAACGACGACTGGAACGAATTTATAAAAGTAACGGAGGAATAAGTCTATGTCAAGACAAAAACAGTATAGCCAACACAAAGTTTATATAAAAATACTTAGCGCGATATAATTGCATAACATTCTCATATTCGTCATCAATGCACTATGTAGGTTATATCGTAGAAAACGGGATGTCTTGGCTATATTTATTATGTTTTGTAATACGAAACTATCAATTATTCTGTAAAAGTTATCATATTGCCAGATGGTTTTCATTAGACACCATTGAAATTTAAAAATGTCCATTTTCGACTGCATTACTTTTGAGTAGTGAATTTCCGATTGGGTTGAACTTCCAGTTGGTGACTCTTTGTAAGAGTCATATAACAATCTGAAAACTTTTTTATTTAAATTTTGGAGTCGTTTTAAAGTCTGGTACCGGACCTGTATATTTTTGTGTTATGACACTGATGGTGTTCCAGTCATCAGCACGAGGGTTATAAACACAGTAAATTAGATCTAGTGTTTACTCTAAAAATGGACTAAGATGAATTATGTTCTAAAATTATTGTTATTAAAGTTATGGAAGAGATCCAACTAGATTGAGGAATGAAAGACAAGCCATTAATCTTTTATAAAGTAAGCAATCATTTATTAATAATTAAAATTAGTTATGATTAGCAAATTTTATTTTGGTACTTGCAAAAAAATATTGAAAGTTATTGTTTTAACATCAATAAAAATTCGTTTAACAAAACTTACAAGAAACATAAAACTTTTTTAAATTAATTGAAGAAAAAAATTGATATCGCTTATTATACACAAAGTAGAGTTTTATTTAATTTGAATTAAAAAAAAAACTATATTATATTATTTATCCGANAGAGTTTTATTTAATTTGAATTAAAAAAAAAACTATATTATATTATTTATCTGAATAGTCATATTAAAAAGCTCGAATCGGTATTAAATTTGAGAGAATTGTGTAAATTTTCTTTTGATTGAAATATTATCAGTTAAAAACAAATTTTCAATATATTATTGATTGAGTGGTATAACATCACTAAATAAAAAATTTTTTATTATAGTAAAAAGTTCAAAACAATGGTTAACAAATATATAATTTTATTTTATAGTTAAGTTTTTTTTTTAATTAAAAACTTGCAACCATAAAATATTTGTGTAGAAAAAAAACTTATGTTTAAATACAAGCTCACTTTAAAATGCTGATTAATTTTGTATTTAGAAAATTTAATCAATATTCACTGAATTTAATTACAATCTAAAATTTATTTTTTCAGTTTTGACTGATCATTGTGTTAGAATGTGTTGTTTACCTAATTTTTGTAAACATCTAATTGAGATGGTGAGACCTTATATTGTAGTGCCTATAAGTATAGTTACACTAACAGAAAAATTCAAGGTAAAGCTTTTTTTTTATGTCCAAGATGTACTAACCTGCAATGTTGTATAGTGAGTACTCAGTAACTATTTAAACATATATGAATTATATCAATATTATTAATTAAATTATTTCTATTATAGGCTGAAAATTGCACAATCTACTAGAAAATGACCATATTCAATTATCTTATTATATAATAGAACAAGTAAAAAATAAATTAATATTAAAATTGTTGAAATATCTTTTCATATCAAATTTTTATATATTTACAATTATTTTAACTATGAGTATATAAATTACAATGATACATTATTTTGATAAAACTATACTTATCGTTTAGTAAGTACATACTTACATTTTATAATATTGTATGTTTTAAGATTTTTCTCATATGAATTTATTATCATCACTCACTAATAAGTTATAAGTATTATTTTGTGTTTAAATTTTATAAAGTGTTTTATCGTTAATTTTTCTTATATAAATTAAAGAGAGAAACAACTTTATTTAAGAAAAGCGGACTGCCCGACATCCGGGTTGCCAATCTGACACAGCGTAAAATTCAAACTTATGTTACACAAAATATAGAAATTAGTTGGTATTTACAAAATAAACAATATTATAACATAGTTACAAAAAGTTAAAAAAATAAAATACATAGAATTTAAGGTATAAATTAAAATCTAATTATACATAAAAAAAAATAGATAAATTATTGTCATTCATATATATATATTTATTAATTGAGTTTTAAGAGTATAAATGCTTGTGGATAATATGTAAAGTATCACGCATAATGGTTAGACAAATAGCTCTTAGTTCATTTAAATTTAATGCGTGAGATTTAAAAAAATTTTTTAATAAAAGCGACGCTGTTCCGCGTGCTCCAAACCAAAGGCCGTGGACTTCCCAGTTGTTTATTCCGTATTTGTTTTTTAGGAATGGAATAACTGGTTCATAAATAAATTTTTTCTCCTCATCTATTTGCTTGTCCTGGTTCTCTTCGTTCGTTTCCCAACGGAGCGTTGGGTCCAGAACCATTCCTTTATTTTTTGTTCGGTCGAGAATAATTATATCAGCCCTTCTATTTTGCTGACTGTTCTCTTCCGTTGAGGCCAAACAGTGAACTTCTTCATGTACCTCAAAGCCTTTCTTTCGAAACATATTAGCTAGCTGAGTACGTATTTTGTGGTGTGCTGAGTTTCTTAATAGCTCTGATCGTGGACAGGAACCACGGATGTGGGAAAGCGTTTCTATTATGTTCTTCTCACTGCAAGAGGGATTTCTGCAGTGGCGGTTTCCCTGACTCCGCCCTCCTGTCGCGCGATTAGCCATTGAATTCATCGACATTTTAATGCCGTTGCACCAGTCGTTGCTCGTAATGCCGGCTTTATTGGATACCCAGCTATTCGCCGGGGTGAATGATTTGTACCACTTCACCCCTATGCCTCTTTGTGGCATTTGTGCCCATTTTTCAAACTCTAAAGCCCTAAGTTCAGCCCTTATAGCACGTACATTGTTTCCAGTCACTCCTCCGAGGGTATCTCTACATTTTTTGATTTCTGCTTCCATATTGCGGACTGTATGGAGATGATTGTCTCTGATTTTAAGTAGAGATTGACATATGTTAATATGTTGAAGAGATGCCTCCCAAGTGACTCTTAAAATTCCGAGTCCACGAAGCTTTCGACCAGTGTAGTATACTGGTATCGGTGTGTCAGCAGGAAGTCCTACAATCTCCCTTACCCCTTGTCTCATAATGGAATCTATTGATTCTAGAAATAGGGGATCTAAAAGATCCAATGGGGTGGTTTGCATGGGATAGACTAATTTTGGGAATATGTATTGCTCTAGGATATTCAATTTTTGGTCCCCTCTCAAAAGAGGGGATGTTATTAGCATTCTAAAATCTTTTTCAAGGCTGGTTATGAATTTTTTCCTGTCAAAGACAATACTGTTTGAGTAGTTGACTCCGAGGTATTTAATCTGTTCATTGATTGAAATTGCACGTATAGTGGCACTGTCTGATAGTATAAGATCGTTAGGAGAAAGCTGACCCTCTCGAATATTTATGGCTATTGATTTTTCTGGATTAATTGACATACCTATTTGTTCGAAAGCTAGTTGTAATGTCTCGACTAATATTATTGCATTTTCTTTGTCTCGCGCTATAATAACAGTATCGTCAGCGAACGCCAGTGCGGACAGTCTGTCTAGAGTTGGTGATAGCTCAAAACCATGAACATTAGCAATATCGGGATCAGAAATTAGCTTCAAAGCAAAGTCTTGACATAGATTAAAGATTGTTGGTGAAAGAGGGGAACCTTGTGCTACCCCACGACGTAACGTAATATAGTCAGTTGTTTGCTTATTTACTTCAATTTTGGTAGCGTTTGATGTTGCTAAAGATATTATAAGGTTCCGTAGATTATTCGGTAGTGATAAAGATTGCAACGTGCGACGGATGTGGTCGTGCCCTACTGTATCGAAAGCTTTGGCTAAGTCTAACATTACTATACAACAATTGTCCTTCTTTTCTCTAGCCACTCTTAAGCAGCCCTCAACGAGTGATGCGTTTATATGTGCTCCTGGCATTCCACAAATAAATCCTCTCTGCACTTGACTACATTTTACTCGTGCTCTCAAAGCCTGGTCTAGACTTCTTTCTATGATTCTACGAATTACGCTGAAAATCGTTATTGGCCTCCAGTTGCATAAATTTTGTTCGTCCCCCTTTTCCTTGAATATAAGAATAGTACGCCCTGTTCGGAAAGTTAAAGGGATATAGTTCCATTCTAGCATTACTTTCCCGATAGCCCATATAGCATTACTGCATTTTACATTTCTTATTGTACGGAGAACAATTCCATCGGGGCCTGGGGATGTGTCTATACATATCTTTTTAATGGAAAGCTCAATGTCCTCTTTTGTTATTAGAAATTTCTCGTTAATATCTACGCTAGATTCGTATGCCTCGCGTATTTGATTGTTGGGTATCTCGAAGAGGGAACGATAGTGTTGGTCTATAACTGGAGTTTCCATTTTGAGCTTAGCAGATTTTTTTGAATTCAGAAGTTTCCGCGCTACTTTGCGACGTTGATTTGCATATTGCCATTGTATTAGGTCATAATTGTATTGGTCACTAATTTTTTTTTTTCGCCGTTTAGAGTATCTTTGTGGGTTTGAGACTTGGCTNTGAGTGGTATAACATCACTAAATAAAAAATTTTTTATTATAGTAAAAAGTTCAAAACAATGGTTAACAAATATATAATTTTATTTTATAGTTAAGTTTTTTTTTTAATTAAAAACTTGCAACCATAAAATATTTGTGTAGAAAAAAAACTTATGTTTAAATACAAGCTCACTTTAAAATGCTGATTAATTTTGTATTTAGAAAATTTAATCAATATTCACTGAATTTAATTACAATCTAAAATTTATTTTTTCAGTTTTGACTGATCATTGTGTTAGAATGTGTTGTTTACCTAATTTTTGTAAACATCTAATTGAGATGGTGAGACCTTATATTGTAGTGCCTATAAGAATAGTTACACTAACAGAAAAATTCAAGGTAAAGCTTTTTTTTTATGTCCAAGATGTACTAATCTATTTTAAACTACCATTTTTTATGTCTATAGGTTTTAACTGATTTAACATTTTCCCACTGCTAGTAGTTAATACAAATATTAATACATACAAATTTTTGTATGTAGGAAATAAGTGACATTCAACAAAGAGTTAAGCATACATGTCTGTTAGAATATTAATGAAATATCTAATGCCTTATGTAAACCTGCAATGTTGTATAGTGAGTACTCAGTAACTATTTAAACATATATGAATTATATCAATATTATTAATTAAATTATTTCTATTATAGGCTGAAAATTGCACAATCTACTAGAAAATGACCATATTCAATTATCTTATTATATAATAGAACAAGTAAAAAATAAATTAATATTAAAATTGTTGAAATATCTTTTCATATCAAATTTTTATATATTTACAATTATTTTAACTATGAGTATATAAATTACAATGATACATTATTTTGATAAAACTATACTTATCGTTTAGTAAGTACATACTTACATTTTATAATATTGTATGTTTTAAGATTTTTCTCATATGAATTTATTATCATCACTCACTAATAAGTTATAAGTATTATTTTGTGTTTAAATTTTATAAAGTGTTTTATCGTTAATTTTTCTTATATAATTTTAAACAATAGTATAAATAATAATAATAATAATTTTTATAATTATTTTTAATTTTAAACATATTTAATTTATTATTTCTATGATGTTATATTATTTTTTTCTAAAATAAGTTTTACAAATTCTGTTCACACTTTTAAATTTAATTTGCAGAAATTACCTAATTTGTTGTTCTAACAATATATTATAAATAATTTTCATTTATTTTTAAGCTTTTAACATTTTATACTTAAATTTACTGTTAAATTAAAGATATTTATTTGTTAATTTTATGTTACTAATGAATTCAAGTATATATTTGGACATCAACTAGAAAAAATTATTTTCCTCTCAAATTGCCATTATCTTATAGAACGTTGAGAATAGTGNTTATTTTCCTCTCAAATTGCCATTATCTTACAGAACTTTGAGAATAGTCAACACTATTAGCATGTTGTTTGAATTAGTGATCAATTTGTCCTTAAAGGACTGTAACATGCTAGCAAATCAAAAGGCAAATTATTTTTTATTAACCATGTCCTAACATTTACTTATCTCACTGTATTTTTTTAGTAATTTTTATTTATTCAATTCTTATTCCTGATATTTAAATAATATTTTTTTTCAGTAATTTATGAGGCCTTATTAAATTATAGTTTTATTTACATGAAGATATTATTTATTTATATATTCAAAACTGAGTATATTAAATATACTTAGTTTTGACTNCATGAAGATATTATTTATTTATATATTCAAAACTGAGTATATTAAATATACTTAGTTTTGACTTTTTTTTTTTTGAGTTTTTGTGCTCTTATATTTTAATAGAAGTAGTCTAATTTTATTAATATGTAGTATTGTAATTTTATTTACTGTAAAGCTATTTCTTATAATAAATTTAACTACTTTTTAGAGCCTAGTTTAAATTTTAGTATTGATCATTCTATTTTTTTAAACATTATGTTAATTTGATGTTAAA